CACACACACACACACACACACACACACACACACACACACACACACACACACACACAAACCTAATTGTCCTTTTTAAAACTTGGCGTTTACAGGAATTTCTCCGCTTTTTGTCTTTTGATGTAGGTCGAGAAATCCGATCCTATCTCGTTCATTTCCGTGATGCCGAATGCTCTCAACACCATTCTTTCTCGATAATGGGCTCGATGGTCTTGCCTTTACCGATCTTATATCCTGCTTATACAACCTAAGGCTGTGAAACATTGCCTAAAACGGGAAAAACTACAAAGTAGAAAAGGTGCACAGCGAATCTGCTGTTATCTCCCTTTTTCCCTGCATCTTTGGTACTCCTGAAAGCTCTAAACCATTCGATTCCTCCTCTCCCTGTTCTGAAGGTAGTTTATTCATTATACTGATGTCTCCAAATAGAATATACACGGCCGGCCTATAGTTTTGTGGTTGTGTTGCAGACTGAACAGCCAGATACTGAGACGGAACGAATATGACGCTGGCGTGGCAACACTGGACCGTTCCGCGGCACTTGGTCTCAACGTTTGCGTTGAGTTATTCACTTATCTGATATGGATGTGAACTAAAGATCCCATTGTAACAGAAGTTACACTTAAGTGTGGATGTGCGATTAACTCGTAGGTGTCGCGCAGAGATGGCTAATTATGAGTTTTGGTATACGTAAGTGCTACAATTAGATGTTCGCTGTGTTATATATGAGACTTGTAAAAGCGAACCGTATTATGACTTGCTGTGATAGATTTTAGGATGCATTTGTTAAGTGGGATCTATGACGTCTGATCTTGAGGAAGAGCGTTTAAGACTCACTTGATCGTTCGAGCGCGATGTGACACGATATTGGGCTGCTTGCTGCTGTTCACCGGATGAAAATCGAAAAGCATAAGCAAAGTGTAACAATGAAGAAGAGACAACCCCAGCGGCACTGTAAAGAATTGCTTTCATTGAAGTGATGTTGGTGGTGTATTCACATCGTAGACAGGAGAATAGAAGAGCTCTAAGGTATTAGGAAATCAATGTATTAGGTGGCCAACGAATGTCATAATCGATACAGAGAAATGGAAGTGCAGAGGTTATGTAGTGCATACCTCACTGGGGCAACAATTTAGCAATAAGTTAGAAGTTACTGCATCCACGCAATTCATTGTATGGATTGCATGACTGTTTGGAAATGTGGAGTATATTGGCTGCATAACAGTGACTATTCTCTATAACCGAAGTGTTAGAAAGTGTTTGTTCCTTAGAGGTCGAAAGAAAAAAAGGGGAAACTACGAGAAATGATTCGAAAATATTAAAAGAAATGAAGCATTCAAGCGCTACTCCCTCACTGAACCAACGACTCGGGTCAACGCGGCTCTGAAGAAAGCTCTTGACGAACAATAACAGTGCTCTTCTAACTCTGCAGCTCCAACCAGCTGCAGCGCTATTCCCTTTTTCACGGTCTTCGATATATTTCGAAATGTCTCAGCTCAAAAATGACTTTTGCAAATGTCTCAGCTTCTTGTGGTTGTATATCGAAATGTATCGAAGAAAAAAAGGCGGGATTGCGAGTAATGGCAGAAAATAATGGTAGTTTTATGCAGGGATTACTGCGAAGTGTGATAATAGAAGGGCCTATAGGGAATTTAAGACTGGGTTATACTTGATACTTGATACTTGAATGGCCCACCCTCACTGGTTGTGCAGGCCCCAGCAAAATCTTCGTTTTTCGGAGATTTGCTGATTAAGCTATTATGGTTCCTTGGAATCCCGAGGTCGGCCTGGCCGAAGTGTGCCCTAGGTGGCCTTCATCACCACAGGCAGTCGCAGCTCTAGTGGATCAGAGAAAGATTTACCACCATGCGAGTCTGATACGAGGATGGTGGTGGATCCTGGTATTGATTTACTCTTAGCTAGGCTTCATGATAGAAGCCGAACTTTTTCTCGGCTTGGGAGACCCTGCCAGAGGGATGAACTCCCAGCTGTACATCATACCCCACACCCAGGAACAACTCCCAGCCAAGATGAGGCGGTAAACCGTTGAGAGGATACTGGCTTATACACCACGAAATTGTAATATGATCCAGAATGTCGAAACTTTTCGCCATGCTTAGGCAAAAAAGACTTATGCTTTCATCGCTAAACTTGTCACTAGTTTTCTTCCCAAAAAGTCTTAAACTTTCGATTTGTGATCTTAATTACTCTTCAGTAGTGGGAAGTTTTCTGATAGGGGCAGCACGGAAAATGAGCGCGGTCACACTCGGTTCTGTGAACTTAACTGGAGTAACTACAACGCGGAGATAAGCCGTCGCAAAATTGAATACTGAGGAGCTGGTGGTACCTCAAAACAGAGATCGTAACGTGATACTGACAGTTGGCAACTATTGCCTGGACGATCAATCAAGTGTTTTTACTAAACGCAGTTTTGCCAATGAGCCAGCAGCATGCCTCGTAAAACTTCACGAAGCTACTTTCTAACACAAGAAATCGTTTAGTTCTTACAGCAATATATCACAGATATTTTCTGCAACTACAGCGTTTCATCATTGCTTATGTGTCTACTAGTCAGCTGTCCAAAACGTCCAGATGAAGGGAAACCCCAATTATTTTTAAATATTTATTGGAAAATCTTTTACACCGAGTTCTTTTTTATGTAAACAAATTGTCCATATTGTTGTACAGCTCTAAGTTTATGATAATCCAGTGAATTTTTTTTAGTACTAAATAATGTCACGTAATGATACTGTGCGCTTTCCTTCTAGCAAACCTTCGAGGGCCATTCGAATCTGAAAAAGTCAACGTTGACACTGTACTCTTGGCTGGTAAATATTTCATCAAATTCAAGGTTATCAGAACAAATAAGTGAAAAAGGACGTTAATAGGATCGTGTATGACGGAGGAAATACTTTCTTAAGCATCTTAATGAGTAGGGCATATTACTTTTGAAAGTCCCACTAGTGACAGTGTTGATCTGAGGGAGGCGAAATAGCCGGAACGTCAACCATCGGGCAACAACATCAACAAAAACGACAACGACGACAACAACAACAACAATGACGGCAGAAACCTATACCAACATCGCATCAGCTCAACAAGATCAGTTTATAAAATTATGTAAATAAATGTATCAACTCGCGAAAAATTATCGATCACTATCGCAGCGGCTTCAGAGGCCACACAGAGCTTGCCCGAAGTTTGGTACCGACTACCAAGAAAAGTGGCACTAGGATACAAAGCATGTTTTTGCGTTAGAATTACGACCTCCCAAAATGTATTTATTTAAATTTTCTAGTGATTTTATCAGGATTTCCAAAGGATTGCAAGGCTGCGATTGTCAAAGAGTTTTGCTTATTCCAGCTATGTTTAGTATGAATCACCTATTCACAAAAAAATAGTCACTGTTGAGTGAACACTTTCATCTATTCTCAGCTTAAATCCTTGTAGAAAGACTTGCGTGTGCTCTCACTGAGTAAATTCAAGAAAACAGGAAAGTAGGGAGGAAAAGAGAGGATGGTAAGGCTGGCACTTATAAAGATTTTGCATCTAGAAATTCGACGAACCTGGGCCATTGTATGACGATCCTCGGCCGCCGCTGGAAAGCAGTGATCCTCCATAATTTCACGAACGGACTTAGGCATTTTGCTCGGAGCAGTAAGACGAAATCCGCTGGTCACCTTTGAAAAAAATACTCTATACTAATGATTTACGTTCAGCCGTTTACTCTTAGTTCTTTGTTTAAGAGAGTAGTGAAGTCTCATGACGACAAAACTGTGGAAAAAATAGCAAAAAAGTAAGCAAGTATTGGAAGGAAGGACTTCCTTTCACAGACCTGTGCATTTACTTCTGCTACCGTCATGCCCTTGTATGGCATTTCACCTCCGGAGTAAATCTAAAAATTGGCGGTGGATGTTAATTTGATGTGACTATCTGTATCACGTATAATATCACCACTTATCCTCGATAGGCTCGAATCAGCATCAACATTTGCTCATTCGTTTCTAATATGCCCTTGGGCCTAATAAACTCTTTCACTCGAGGTGCACGAACATTGCCATAGTTATGGCAAGAACATTATTTGTGATTGTTCGCGAAAACACCACGTCGACATGTACCACGTGTTCTGCCATGATGATGATCTGCTAGTTGTTGATTTTCTCCACGAAGAAATCAAATTTTTTCTGGGACTGAAAGACATGATCAAGGAGTCGAACACCTCCACTGTATATTATTACGGATCGACAAGCAGAATAACCCATACAACATTTGGAATGTTCCCGTTACTACAATAAGGCAGTGAATTTAAATGAGCTTATTGTACAAATAAATAAAAACAAGTGAAATAGTAATGGCATGTGTCACAGAGTGGCTAACACACTAGTAGTGCAAGGAGTATTTCTGAAAACCTAGTTATGACGTCGAGAGGCAACTTCCCTGCCTAAGTCCTCTTCCTCCTCCCTCCACATACGGGTAAACTCATTCAACCATATAACTTATCCTTCAACTATATCCATCATCAGCATCCTGCATGAAAGGACATCATCTAATGGGTATGCCTGCCTCATTCGAGGAGATGACCAGCTGAGAGAGACTTGACTAGACACGAAGGCGAAGACGCCACATCGAGACGAAGAACAAGCGTGGACCATCTACTCGGTTGAAACACTAGCCGACAATAAATATATTTATCAACTTCGTGTGAGCTCATCAAAGAAAGAATACACATTCGTGCAACTAGAGTTTATAATGTCCATCAAAGAACCTAGTACGAGCTTTTTCTCTCATACCAAGTATGAGCTCTGGCAAATGATAGGGAAAAATGAAGGTGTCATTGGTGTCTTTTCGAGATATTTGAATGTTAACGAGGTTACAGGTGACTTCATATAGGTATATACACATATTCACAATGATAACAACATTTTCAATTTAGGCTTTCCTAATTTTTACTATAAATCTAACCTCCCATAATAGCACGCCGAAAGAAAATACATCGCTTTTTTTTGAGTACGTTGCTGTTGTCATCACCTCTGGTGCCAACCAACGTATTGGTAGGCGCTGCCTCAAGTCCTAAATTGTACTGAAGCATATGTAGACGTCGCTATTGAGAGCCGTATAAATTTTGTAAGCAGTGAGAACCACAATTTCAAGTTGTAAATGCTCTAAGCTGTCGCGAAGTGAATCATGGTCATTATGAGAACAGACAAGATGGAGAATAATGGAACAAAGAAATAGGAAAAGAATGAATAGATAGTTCTAGATCGCAAAAGAAGCAGGAAAACCTAGAAGAATGAGAAAACAGCAAACAAGCGTGGAGGATCTAGCATTTATTATTGAATGAATAAAATAAAACCCGGATGATAGAAGAAGTTACTGGTAATGGAAACAATAAAAAACAAGGAAATAAGTAGGAAAAGGAAATAAAAAAAAAGTGATTAAAAATAAGAAGCCCAAAGTGGGAAAACATGGAGTTCGCGATGTAGCTCAACTGGGACACCTACCGTGACCTTGTACTTCTCCTGGTGACGCGACAACTGTGTCGACAAGCCGAAATCGCTGATTTTCACCTCATTACCATCTACCAAGCAATTTCTGAATAATTTAACTATAACAATACTGAGATATTTGCAAGACGTGGATTCCGGGCCAGATGGAACTACGATCACGTTTTTCGGGGTTTGCGTATTACACACTGCACCACGGAGGCCCATGCTTTGCGTTTCTCTCGGCTAGTTTTCTACCTAACGCTGCCATCAGCAATCACCCATCAGCGGGATTGATCTAGGGAGCACAAATCGGCATTGACCTCACTTAAGCTAAGGGTGTAGTCGAAATCATATTGTCAACTTTTTACTTGCTGCCCACTATAATTTTTCACGGTAAGGAATGACGGATACAACCACAACAAACAACCATCGTGGTTGGATATGGCTCAGGACGGAAAATATCTCAGCATCGTTGTGGTTGTATCTCACATCATGCTCTGCCGTGAAAAATTATAGTAGGCAGCAAATAAATGGTTGACAGTGCAATAATATCGCTTTCCGAAAATTGGAAACATCCTAAGGGCGAAATATTTCTCTAGGCGGTCAGCACAAGCAGTGTAGTCATTGCTCAGAGGCTTTAAACAATGGTCGTTTAAATTAATAAGCATAACGGAAAAGAAAGTCAAGACCTTGCTGCTACATCTCTGTGAATGCAAGCGTTGTCATGTAGATACTCGAGACCTTTCGACGCAGTGTAGGCGAAATACAGCTAAACAGCGTGTAAACCCTCAAAACTCTTTCAAATTCTCTTTAACAGTTGACATCCTATTAGGATGAACTACTCTCCTAGATCAACACATCAGCAGAAGTTGGGTGCCATTTTCATTCACGCCTCGTTATGGATTTATAAGCTGAACAGGTGTGAATTTTCCTGAGTCATGTATATTATTGGAGTTCATAAATGGAAGGTCTGATGTATACCGACAGTGTGAAATATAACTTTAACGATGCTGAGATATTTGCAAAACTCCGGACCGCAGGTGTATGCAGTGGGGAACGAACGCGCTATTGTCCTTACCGGGGAGTAGCGCACTTTACCACCACACCATCCGGGTCCTTCGTTTTGCCTGTTTTTCAGCTACTTCTATCGATCTTTTGCCATCAGCAATCACTCGAGAGACAGGCAAAACGAAGGACCCGGATGGTGTGGTGGTGAAGTGCGCTACTCCCCGGTAAGGACAATAGCGCGTTTGTTCCCCACCGCATAAACCTGCGATCCGGAGTTTTGCGAATATCTCAGCATCATTGAAGTTATATTTCACAATGTATACCCTGACGTTAAAAAAAAGAGTAGGCAGTAAATAATACGTCAAATTATACCGACAGTGTTAGGTTTACAACCCAGCTGTTCATGACGACATGAGAGCAGCTTGTCTGCTATTGTAACAAGAAAAAGTTGTCTGAGTTTAGGCGATGAAAATTGGTTGCAATCACTTTAGTACCACAGTCTGACATTCATTTACCCATTTCGATGGTTTTTGTAAATTTACTTGAATTGAAAAGGCGATCTCAACAAATTTGACAAGACTGAGTGTTAATAGCATTAGCGAAGTGGGAATTCATCTCCATGACCAAAACAGAGACAAAAATGTAAACAAGAGGTTAAGAAATAGGGCCCTTAGCCGGTTATCAACTTTATGTCTCCATGGAATTTATGTTCTGTATGGAATCCCTTCAGAAGTGAGAACGTAATTCACAAGTGAAAATTTCTTCTCTATCCCCATCTCAAACTCTAAACGATTTTCATCTTGGCGACTTGCCATCAATTTAGATTGAAGTTCTAGTTGGAAAACTTGTCTTTGCGTCGTTTGGCGGACTTTAATCATAGATCCGCTACTCATTTCGGATCAATCTGAAGCCCCTGTTTTGCTCTGGCGAGTAGAATCAAGCAAAGGGTTGTCATCAATAAAGAACAAAGCATGACGAAAGACTGTTACCTAATACTACCATGTAGCTCTCAACCTTTATACTCTTGCATTGCACTGAGTTTCCTTAGGCAAGAGGATGGTTCTTCCGTGATCACTTACAAGGTCCTGCAACGAAAATTCGTCTTTTTTCTTCCGTAGTAGACTATCAAGAGCACCACCGGTAACAAGCTCCATAACGAGCATCAACGGATCCTGAAAACTTTTTTCGACTAATTCTGAAGTTCCACAAACAGGAATGACTTTTAAAGAGTGAATATGTCACTATTTATTTAACACCTTTTCTGGAATATTTTTTAAAGCACCACTTTCGCTAACGCGCCAGGAACTTCTAAAAATTTCAGGGAAAGTGGTAAAAACGTAAGACCGCGGATTTTGTGCGCGGCGCGTTCCCGTGATTTTACATCTGCGAATTGCTATAGAATCACTTGTAAAGGAGAACGGAATGATTCAAATAATCTAATTTTAGTTTTAAGAATTAATAAATAAGTTTTGCTTAAGACGTTCGGAAAATTGAGGCGGGTGCGGCCTAGTGGTCGGAGGCGCCCCGCAACACACACAGAGATCGATCACCGCGCACATGGCTCACCAAGCCTCCCATCCTTCCGAGATCGGCGAATTGGTACCAGACTTGTCTGGGAGGATAGCAGCACTGGCTCGATACATCGGTAGGCCACCACGAATCATTGTAAAGGTCAGATATGTACTCAATCACCTTCAACGATGCTTTATGAAATCGAATGCATGGTGTATCTCTCACGAATTGATCAAAGCCGAGAGCTTCATCCGTATTTTATAATAAGCAAGTTATTTCATTTTTAGGAACTTTTTAAAATAAACTGACGTGAGCCTGTTTAGAAGTATTTTTGGTTCTCTATGGCTTTTTCCTTTTTCAGAGCCTAGTGGTATAGCTATAGAGAGTTATTCTGTGAGTATCTGCTCTTATTTTTGGGATAGGAGTACTAGAATGTTGTTCACACAAGAAAATTGATCGTACTTCCTTCTCAAAACTTTAGCCATTGAGAAGTAGAATACGTGCTACCGACATCGCGTCAGCTCAGGAACGACAGTTAATAAGAATAGAATAACATGGAGCAGAAACCCCTAAATTTTGTGTGAAATCGAGGACGAAATAAAGTTATGTTAAAAATGCTAGTCTTGATTTTGGGTACTTGGTATGTACTTGCATGGAAGCTCAACGGATCACACTATGGGAGCGTTTTTTGACTGAAGAAGATCATCGACGAACTGAAATGATTCACTCACCCGTTCCACAGCGACTCCATAGAACTTGATGACATTCGGATGTCGATAGTGGCGCATGAATCGCGCCTCTTTACAAATTTCTGCGATCACCTCCTTATTAACAGTACCGCCCTTGTGCACTTTTACTGCTACCTAAAGTGCACACGACAATGAACACCTTTCGAATGGAACATCAAAGCAGGCGCTGTCGCAATAATACATGATGGAATGAAAAAGCGATATGAAGTGGGTTTAGCCTCAACATTCGGCGTCTATGCTGTAGCATTCACCAACAAATTCCTTTACTACGGAAGCATTTTTTAGGGCAATATAAAGCGTTGAAGCGTTCAGCGTTGATCAATTTCTGAAGGACGCGCCATTCATTAGACATTAGCAAGCATCACTGACGTGATTGAGTGCATATCTGGCTCATACAATGATTTACGACGGTCTACCGATGTATTAGCACAGTGTTCTTATCTTTCCGGACACCTACGGCACTAAGTTGACGAGCCAAAGGATAGAGAGCTTGGTGAACCCGTGGCGCGTCATTGAACCAGCAACCAACTCATTGCCTATCGCACAGCACCTTTGACCCACTGTACTACACGTGAACCAGGGAAAGGTAATAAATGTGATTTTATTGATCATTGTATGTGGCAATCATTTTTGGAAAAACAAAAAAGGTCAATATTTTGTTTTCACTGAGATCGTTAGACCGACTCATCCACTCAAATACCACACTGATAATTATTATGTTAGTCGAAAATCCTTATAAGCCAACAGCTATCCCAAGGCTTCCGAAGCCCACTGGCTTGCAAACCAACCTATTATGGTGTTGACGAAGACCTCCTCTCTTCGATGGGCGCGTATGGCGCAGTGTTACGAGGTGCCCTTCAACACACACTTGGAATCGATCCCCGCGCCCATGGCCCACCAAGCTTTTCATCCGTCCGGGGTCGGCAAATTGGTATCGGACTTGTCTGGAAGGATAGCAGCACTGGCTCGATACATCGGTAGACCACCACGAGTCATAGTAAAGGCCAGTTATGCATTCAATTACCTCCACCGATGCTTAATGAAGTCGAATGCAGGATGCATCCCTCAGAGAATGATCATCGCCGAGAACTTCATTCTTCTTTATCCTCTTCGATGTACTTTTATTACAAATAGCCCATAGTTAAATTCGCAACCACTAGTGCACTTACTCACTTTTGCAGAAGGATACTTAATTACCTTAGTCAGATTTCACTTCTTCTAAGTATGATTTTATAATGAGTCAAGAAAATATGCCATTTTACCCTCACGGTGTTTATTCCCAGTGTTAAGGTGCCGGAATACACTTCACCAAATGCTCCTTTACCAATGAGCTGGTCGAGTGTGATCTACAAAACGTCATTACTGTGCAACAATACTAGTCGAACACATACGAATAGGTGGTCTAAAAACTGGTATATTCGGTAGTATACGCTTTCTAGTAACTGTTATCTATGGTTCATCGATGTTTTGATGTCATCATGAGTCATTTATCGATCCACGTTATTCCTCATATTCCTCATTCGTCACTGTGGAAAAGAGTTATTCCCTTCTCATTTTTCTAGCATTCCGAAGGTGAAGTCATTTCCATATCCTATGTTTCTCCCGAATAGGAGGATCCATGCCGGTTAGTCGCGAGGCAAAATGGTGCATCAACAGGTGGTGGTTAGGGGGTTAATCGCGGACGAGAAAACGACCTTCGCTTCCCTGAGGCGCGGGTAACTCCAGGAGAAGTAATCCTTACTTTTGCTTCGCCGATATGGCATATACGTTATGTATTTACGTAGACGTTTTCATGCATGCATGCACGGGTGTGTTCTCGTTTACGTGGATTGTATTCTATTGGTCAATTCAACCTAAAGCCTACAATCAAGCAACGGTGAAATATGTAGGAGGCAGTTAGGAGTCGCCTCCAAGAAATAAGCTCTCTCATAAGCATCCACGTCTTGGGCACACCAAGCTATACGTGGTTATCAAAAGCTAAACACACTAAAATAAACGGACCTTAATCCCCTGACCAGAAAAAAACCCTGTTTGGCAGCGCTGAGCACGACGAGTACGGAAAGGTTGCTAAAATCTCGGAGCCATTCTAAGCTGCTGAAATCGCAAAGGACTAAGGTGACAGATCTGTACATACAATGCACGCACACTTGCATCTGCTTTCTCGATAAGAGATTTGATCATGCAATTGATCATGATCAGGACACATATGGCGCAGCAGTTGGAGGCGCCACTGTGACATACACGTAGAATCGATCTCTGCGCCCGTAGTCCACCAAACATTCTCTCCCTCCGGAGTCGGCAAATTGGTACCGGACTTGGCTGGGAAGATAGCAGCACTAGCTCGATATATCGGTATGCCACCGCGAGTCATTGTAAAGGCGAGATATGCATTCAATCATCTCCAAATGATGCTTAATGAAGTCGAATGCATGGCGCATCCACGAAGGGGTTGATTAGCGACGACAGCTTTATCCATTATCCTTTTCACTCAGGTGACTGTCGGAAAGATGCCATTCTCGATAACATTGAAGAGGAATGCGATCGGCGCGTTCAACAGCTTCACGTTAGCGCTATCAAAGCTGAGAGTTCAAGACTCACCAAGAGAATTCTTTCTCCGGAAACAGGTGAGGTGGTGCGCAGTGCAGAATTGCACGAGCTATTGCACTGCGCAGGTAACCGCCAACTCACGTTCGAACTTCCAAAACAACGCACACAGGCGATAAAAGAACATCTTTAAGAGAAAAGACCAGCAGTTATAGGCGAAACTGCAGAGGCTAACAAAAGCATTCTCAAAACCCATCAAAGCTTCTCTATTTAGAAATCCTATATGATTGCAGTCTGACGCCCATAGTTGCATCTTCCAGGAAGGTAGTGGAGAAAAGCATTCACGACTATTATTCCGATTTCTTAATTAGTCGCGTCGTTCTACTCTTATAAAAAAGAACGCAGGACGGATATGTCGGATCACAGGTTCTCCTTTCTAAAGTCCTACATACTATTTCATCGGTGAAAAATCGAATAACACCAGGTCCGGACAAGATAAGATCTGAGCACCTAAGGAACCTTCCGCCAGTCCTCGTAAACACACTGGCTTGGCTCTTCACACGTTACCTGTCTGGAAGCAAGGTTTCTACTCAGTGGAAGACCAGCAAGCCTGTGCTATTGTTCAGAAAGAGTAATCTCTATAATATCAACAAGTTTCACCCAATCTGCTTAATGTCTGTTGTCTAAAAGCTTTTCACTCGTGTTATCCTAAACAGGATTGGTAAGACACTGCGCGATGGGTAGCAATGTGAGCAAACAGGGCTTCGAAAAGGATTCATCACAATCGACTACATCCACACGATAACAAGATTCGTTGAATTATCGTGAGAGTACAAGAGACCGCTTCTTCTTATTTTCAGAGATTTAAAGAAGGCTTTTGATTTAGTTGAAGAAGCAGACATGGAAACCTTGGACAGCGAAGGGTCCCAACTAAGTACATAAAGATTCTTCGCGAACTGTATAAAAATTTCGCATTCAAAATATCACCATTCTACAAGGATACTAATGTTGGCTTTAAAAAGTGATTAGACAAGGCGACACCGTCTCACCAAAGCTATTTACCGCCACCCTCGAGACCGTTGTGCGAACAATGGAGTGGGGCAACATAGAACTGAAGATGGTCGGAAATTTCGCCATCTTCGCTTTGCTAATGACATCGTTCGCGTAACACCAAACATTAGCCTAGTGGAACAAATGCTTGCCGGCTTAGATAAAGCTTTTAGAAAGACTGTTCTTCTATTTAATCAAACCCTCTTATGCCCTTTCACGCTCACCAGTACGAATATCTCCGAGTGCTTCAGATGCGTTTGCCTTGTACGGGAAATCAACATGGTAAACGACTTTGCTCCAGAGTTGAGCAGGGGAAGCGAAGGACTTGCGAAGCTTCTGAGAGCATCGAGGATGCAGTGACCAGTACAAGGAACACCCTATTCCGTGCCCACCATTTCGACTACACGATTTTTCCTGCCTTAATCCGTTCTTCAAAAATCTGGTCGCTTCGTGAAGAGGTTAAAGTCCACTCAGCGGCAGTGGACGCGCAGTCGAAAGGACGATACCAGGAGTATCTCGTGGCACGCAAATGAGGACAGGGAGCCGAAGGTTCGTGCTACATCAGCAGTGAAAAGTCAAGCATGCCGTTCTGTACGCCAAAGCGTCGAAGATAAGGTGGACCGGACAGGTAATGCGTATGAACGGCAACCGATGGACAAGAGTCGTTAGTGAGTGGATTACTCGGGATGTCAAAATATTGTTGGGAAACCACCGACCCCAGAGTTCTTCACGAAGAGCTTAGAAGAAAGATATGATGCTCGACGAGTCCCTAGAGAGAGCAGAACCCCCTGAGCTGCCACTGTACATAGCAGGGAAAAGCGGAAGATTTGTTGATGGCTGCTCGAGTCACCGGTGATCAGCGATTAGGCAAATGATACAGGAGATACAGGTGATACATTTCACAGCAGTAAAAAGTCAGTGCAGTAATAAACACCGTGTCGATTTTCCAACTGAAGCTGACGACATTGTCACTGGGCTTCGATGTTCACATAGCTAACTTTTGTAGAGTTTCATGCTTTTCACAGATTAAACGCTAATGAGAAGTTCAATTTGAAGTTACCCAGTCGTGTTTGAGCTCCCATTTTTGTCTGTTCACTGGAGTTATCAGAATCGCTCCGGAGTTTTTAGTAAGCGGTTTATGTTCTCTGGAGTAATAATCGATCAGAGAGTTAACGTCAGGAAACAGTTCTTCCTCAATATAGTACTTTCCTGAAATCTCATAAATAGGACCTGTTCCGTACCCCGATTATTATCTATATTGCTCTTGTCTAACTTTTTGTTCTAGTTGCGTTATACTTTTCTGTGGAATATTTCGTGTCCATGTGACCAACATAGTATCACATTACACTTTCTTGTTAATGGGATTAAGTGTACCTTCTCTTTCGCCAATGACGAAGTGGTAGTTTTTATTCTTCCAGCGTGATGAGATAACAGTACGAAATCCCTAAGATAAGAAAGCCCATACCTTTGAACAAAACAACAACAGTATGTTCCATAGACGAAAAGTGGCTCTACGAATAAAAAATTCTGGGAGGGTTATTCGAAAACGCATGGAAACCTTTGCACTTTGCTAATACCTTATTCTTTCGATTATGGTCATGGCATTTCCAAAAAAACCAATATTTGACATTGCTGTGACGAACGATGGAGTACTGTCCTATAGTACTTTTACAAAAAAGAAACTTCATTATCGCTGGTCTACAATTTGAAACCTAGCTTCTTCCCATTTTGTTTCCACTGGAGGTAAATTTGAAATAACGTTTCTCAGCTAAAAATGAGTAAATTGGATGGTGTTTGTAGGGCTCGAAATTATTACCATATCAGGTCGCGGCTCTGTGACGCGAACCAGAAATTGACCATCTTCTGTGAGTAATCTGAAAAAGTGGTAAAATTTGGAACAAAAAAGTGAAACTAAATTGAAGCTAAAGCTGATTTTATGAGAATCGATCTTTCAGCGATGAATACAAGCTTCTATCAACCGAAGGGAGATTAGCACCAATTTATAACAAATTCTTCGAAGCTATTGGAAGTTCCCAAGATCGACTTTCTCTTAACCTCGGCATTGGAATATGAATGTGTCGTTTTCTTGCTCAGCAATCGCGAGGTTTTTAAACAGCATACATTTACTTCCATAAAGAAAACACAATGCAATACAACGCTAGCTGACGTTTCGGCAGTATCGCCTTCTTCAGAGCCTGGAAGGGTATACTGATATACAATCTACTAGGCCAAACGCTTCAATAACACTTAAAAAAAGACGAAGAACTCTCCGGCAATTACACAATCAACAACTTCTCGAAAAACCCACCGCAGTAACCCCACGAGATAAGTTTACAAGGAGAACGACGCGCCCACGCGAAACGCTTGGCCAAAACAAAATCCCGTTTATATTGCCTTTTATAAGATGAAGATGAAGTAAGCGCAGCTATAAAACGATGCTTAAGAAGGGCAGATCTAGAGGAATCGGTAGCGATAGTTGAAATACCACCGACTACTCTACGTCGCCAATTAGTTCGCAACCGCCTGTATGACCGTCTGTGTGAAACAACAAATTGCGTAATTTGCCCTTACGGCAGGGACGGTGATTGCATGAGTTCAGGTACGATATACCTGATCTCGTGTAACAATTGCGGAGATGAATATATTGGCGAAACGGGCAGACCTTTGTGTATCCGTATAAAAGAACACCTAGATGGCAAACGAAAACTAAGACGAAGCACCCCACTAGGCACGCATAGGATACAAAAGCATAGCGGAGACGATTTTGAAGTGAAAGTCAATATCCTTGCACAGGAGTCCAAAACACCAGCGCGAAAACTCCTTGAGGCTTTTTGGATCAATGCCAAAAGCCCTACAATGAATAGCAGGGATGAATGCCCGGAGATCATACGCGACCTGATCTCGTACGTTCGCATCGATTTTTGATGTGGGATGGTGCAGTCGTNACGATGCTTAAGAAGGGCAGATCTAGAGGAATCGGTAGCGATAGTTGAAATACCACCGACTACTCTACGTCGCCAATTAGTTCGCAACCGCCTGTATGACCGTCTGTGTGAAACAACAAATTGCGTAATTTGCCCTTACGGCAGGGACGGTGATTGCATGAGTTCAGGTACGATATACCTGATCTCGTGTAACAATTGCGGAGATGAATATATTGGCGAAACGGGCAGACCTTTGTGTATCCGTATAAAAGAACACCTAGATGGCAAACGAAAACTAAGACGAAGCACCCCACTAGGCACGCATAGGATACAAAAGCATAGCGGAGACGATTTTGAAGTGAAAGTCAATATCCTTGCACAGGAGTCCAAAACACCAGCGCGAAAACTCCTTGAAGCTTTTTGGATCAATGCCAAAAACCCTACAATGAATAGCAGGGACGAATGCCCGGAGGTCATACGCGACCTGATCCCGTACGTTCGCATCGATTTTTGATGTGCGATGGTGCAGTCGTCAACCACATGCGACTATAATCAGCTGTTCTAAACTTCCTTATTGGAAGTCACGAAAAAGCGGTGGGTTTTTCGAGAAGTTGTTGATTGTGTAATTGCCGGAGAGTTCTTTGTCTTTTTGTAAGTGTTATTGAAGCGTTTGGCCTAGTAGATTGTATATCAGTATACCCTTCCAGGCTCTGAAGAAGGCGATACTGCCGAAACGTCAGCTAGCGTTGTATTGTATTGTGTTTTCTTTATGGAAGTAAATGTATGCTATTGGAAGTCTTTGGTGTCCCTGCTAGAACGTTCGCAGGTTATCACCAATCATAAATTTTCTTGATAACAGTGGATTTTCTCAGACAAGTCTGGGACCAATGTATCGAACGGATAAAGATGGGGGCTTGGTGGCCGGAAGTGGAATCCAACCAAAATTTTGGTGCAGTGGGTGAATTACAAGACGTCTCTAGCCACTGCACTTCCTGTGTTCTTTTCTTCAGTGGCTTCCATGTAAACAAACAGTGCTGCATATAAGGACAAATCGTGGTGGAGTTCTGTGGGTGTTACTTGTGTTTCTCACCTACTACTCACCTGTCAATATCTTCGCGAGGTAACATTCCGTGAAACCACTGATGTTCATCGAGTGTAGCTTTTGAGCTTGAATCGCAACTTAAAATATAATGCATATAGGATTTGTAATATTTAACCTAACCAATGCGAGCAAAAAATTGTAGAAAAAATAACGCAGCCGTACAGAGAAGGCTACCTCTTGACATCCTTATATTCAGGCATGACTAAATAGAAATGAACTACACCTTTGGTGTATAATCAACTGGATAGCAATCCTATTGTCTGTGATAAGCCGTATTGTGAGTTGCTGAAAATTTTATTGTTCACAGTTATAACATTGGCCTGGTTTCCCATAATGACACTAGTTTCATTCCTTGATGAGTCGAATGAGGTTACCTCGATAAACACGCGACTTATATTAGATGAGGGGCGAGAGTAGCTGCTCAGTGGTCAGAGGCACCCTGCAATGCATATGGAATCTATCCTCGCGCACAAAGCTCACCAAGCCTTCCATCTTTCCGAAGTTGGTAAACTGGCACCAGACTTGTCGGAGAGGATAGCAGCACAGGCTCGACACATCGGTAGGCCACCTCGAGTCATTGTAAAGGCCAGATATGCATTCAGTCACCTCCAAACGGTGCCTAATGAAGCTGAATTCATGGCAACTCCTCAGGGATTGATCAACTCCGAAAGCCTTATGCTTTTACCCTTTATTTTAAATGTTTTATGAAATGGCTTTAATGACTTGAAAGAATGTCGTGAACTCGTATTTTTAGGTTTCTTCGGTTAACGTTTCGGCGACGTCTTTCGTTCTTTACTAGCGTTTTTGTGCTGTTCACGTCTCGTAGAGAGCGAGACCACCTGGACACCGTTCACATGTGATAATAAACTGTAATTTATAATCGAAAAATGTGCAAAAGTTTTGAACGGAATTAGCTTAGGAGAGCTTTTAGAACGTGGAAAAATAGGAAAACTTTTTTAGTGGCAGAAATAGTTAACTATTTCACCTCGAAAAGTATCGACAATCATTACCAACCACTGCGCCCATCTTCCACACGAGGAAAAGTTTAGTTGTAGAAGGCTATAAATAATTAAGAAAACGAATCAAGAAAAATGTGTTGAAAGGAAAATGTTAAGCTTTCAACAAACATAAGTAAGTAATAACTCAGGTGTCCACATTGGAAATTCTCTGATGTCCAGCAAACGATATCCCACTTTCAACCCTTGGTTTGTTCGCCATCTGACGGATATTGGCTGGCTGTTAAAATGCTATACAAGTTTCGACTTTTTTGCTTTATTTTTAGGTTTTTCTGATCATAACAGTGGCTGCGTTTCCTTTTGATCAATTGGTATCACCCTGTAATGTAGAGCCTGCCTCATTTTGTGAAAAATTCGATTCTTAGTATTTTCTACAGATGTTCACCTTATGCGTAGGTGTTTTCTGAGCGATCGTACAGTCAGCTGTTGAATGCAGGCTTTCAGTGAATAGCCTTCACATCTCTGTGACGAAAGGCATTGTTCGCTGAGGAAGTCCAATCTTTGTTGCCATTTCGTGTGTGTGCAGCTCAGTTCGTTTAACGGCATGTGAGCAGACAAAGCTATTCGCAGAGCTTGGCAAATTCCCGGACAAAGAAATGGTCTAAGATATCGCTCTTTGTTCCGTTTCCATGAACGCAAGGGCTACCAATCTGCTGAAAGGCACCACCCATTCGTAGCAATCAGCGTCTGAATGGAATTAGCCGACTGGAGTAGTTGTAGTTGCGACGGCCGTGCAGAAAGAGGTAGTGGAGTCCCAAGCAAGCGATTGCCGCCATGATCACATCATTTTTGCACAAAGTCACTTATAAATAAGACATGCTGCTAGTCTCTTCAGAGCCCTAATGCTATTTTTAGGTACTACTTTTATACTTTTCAAAACCAATATTCTTATTTCGCTAATTTGTGGCTTAAGGTTCAACTTTACTTGCATACTTGGATTCTTTCACTCCCGTCTTCACTGATTGCGCGGGTCCCAAAACAATTTTCATTCTTTTTGGAGTTTTTCTGGTTTAGCTGTTACGATTTCCTGTAGTCTCGGGGTCAACCTAGCCAAAGTCTGCTCCAGATCACCGCCGTCACGGGCAGTAGCGACCCATGTGGATCAGAGAAAGGTTTGCCACCATGCGACTAGTTTGATACCAGGACGGTGGTAGATCCTGGTATTACTTACTCTTATCTGGGCTTTTTGATGCAAAGGCTAGGCTCATTCTCAGCTTGTGAGACCTTGCCAGGGAGACGAATCCTCTCGCTGTACATCGCAGCCTGACATCCAGGAAGATCTCGCAGCTGCTATGAGGCGGCAAACCGATTGGAGTAGTTCGACTTTCCCATTCCATTTTCGAATTCTTTGTTAAGCACTCAAATTCTACGATTTTAAAGTTTCGCACAGCTTTTATAGACTTTAGAAAAGTATGAATTAAGATAAGAAGTGAAAAAACAAGGTTATACATGAGGAGCCTATGAGACATTATGATAAAAATACAATATTAAAAACAGAAGATAATTTCAAAATTGTTTTCTTCTAGTACGAGGTAAGAGCAGGTGAACAAAGAAACAAAGAGTACCGAAAAGGGTATGTTAAGGTTATTTTGTTGCTACAAAACATCACGCACATTTTTGCACATATTTGCTTTTCCACACATTTTCTGTTGTATAATCAGCCATGTGTCCACGTATTGCCCACACCCTAGGACATTTTTGCTTCGTTTCATTGTACTGCATCAGTCATCCACGAAGATTAATGACGTATGTCGCTGAATGCTTGTCAGCCGTGATTATTTTTGGAAATCCGGAAGGCCTCAGCTAGATCCACTTTGTGCTACCACAGTTCGTCCTGGTCATTCTGCTAAAACGGGCTCAATGAGGAGCCGTGTGCAATCGTGCCGGAAAGCGCTAAAGCGTTTACATTTGAAGAAGTATACGCGAGTTTTTAAAAAACATTCAAAAGACTCTTCATGAAATTTAGACTACCTTTTCGAAAACCATAAAATATTCTTGATCGTAGTTCGTTTTGTTGATTTTTTCTCGACTTCATCGGAATGTCCTACTGCGAAAGACTGGCAGTTATCCAGAAGACTGCTACTGTTAAATTCAAGCTGAAAATAGAACTAGGTATTTTTGTTTAAGAACATAAAGAAGTATACTGCATCGAGCTTTTGTCGTCATCGTTACTGCCGCCTCTAGAGGGAACGTTCATGATACTACTCGTAGTAATAAAAAACTCCTGAAGAGATTTATCAGATTGTTCAAGCCCCAATGATGGAATGCCATCATATAGTGAAGGAAAGGAACAAGGGTGTAACATCCCATTTGTCACCGCTGTCGCCCTCGTATTCTGGGTAAACTTTGCCAAATAACTTTTTGTTTTAAAGCTGAGATTTGGTGTTTCAATGCTGATTAAATGGCAAGTGAGTGGAGAACGATCTTGTGTGGAAGCGGTGATCTCACTTAATCTGTACTGCTTCTTGTGGAACGACTTCTTGTTGGTTTATTATCTCTTCACCGGCAACCGTTAGAGAGCTTATAAGTTCCAAACAAACGTTCTCCTTTCTCATGGAGATAGAAATCAATTCAATTTTTAAGCAAATATTTCTAAAGCAAGGAAACTTCTCGGCTAACACGACGCTTACTATGACAGATTTTGTGACAGACTATTATCACAACTCGAGCGGTGCCGATTAGTCCATCGTACAGCGGCGACTGAAAAGCAGTACAAACATTTTTCTCACCTCCTAAAAAATGCAGTCAATCAAGGTTGTTTTCAGGATCCTTCATAGGAATTTTTTCAAATGGCTACAAATGTTCAACTTTCAAAGCTTTGTACCCAGTATTACGCATCGAGAAATATTAGCGCGCTTCAAGCCTAAAAGGTAAACCGTTTGCAGTTAATGGATCTTGGCGCTGTTGCATTTGAATGGATCGCCGCTGAGTTATTCGAAGCAAATAAGAAACTTTAATATCTACGGATAATTTTGTGCCTTAATATTGAAGACCTGCGCTGTGCTTCTTTGTCAAAAATCATTTTCATCTACTATAATTAACTGCAGTTCGTGAACAGTAAAAGTGCCCTACACGTATTCTTAGGCAGACAAAACCAAAGTTAGTGACGTAGGTGCTAACTGATAATGTAGTGCAAAGGTGGACTTTCTATGCATAGCAAGATAAGCAGAATGGGATAGTAAGCACTGTGGCTAAAGACATCTTGCGATAGAAAGACGGTCAGCAGCTCGATGACTATATGAGTCAACAAAGCTCTTCATCTCTCCAGGTTCACCAGAGAGCTACCGGACTTGTACAGGAAAATTTTCCTCTGACCCATAAACGTTGGCGATAGACTCTGTCGAAGATGAAAGAGAGCTCCATCGAAGTTACCCCGAGATTCTCAGGAGAATTAATTCGACAAGAGTTACGTGACATTAACGAAGAAACTGAAAGCCTCTAGTAGCGGCTAAACCCATACGTTCATTTCGAAGGCCTTCATGAATAACGGATGTACGAGATCTGAATGAATGAATGTTGGTTTCCAAATAAATAGCAGTAAGTAATAAAAACATGCTGTTTTCTGACATTGTGCTTATTAGTTTGATGCAGGCTACTGCAGATTCGGTTGCCGTTCCTCGATCTGTTTGCAGTTCTTGGACTCAGACTCATTCAGTTTTTCAAATACCACGCCAAGAATGGTTGAGAGTGCAAAAAGCATGGTGCGGATGGGCCATGATATCTCAGTGTTCTCTGAAAAGTCGTTCCACAATTTCTGACAATTTTGCCAGCGTGTCAGTTTCGTTGAGAAACGATAAACCATAATTGCCACCAATTACATGTCATCTATTCCACGATCGGGCCGGCTGATGCGTGGTGATAACCACTTCAAATTTTCTATGCCCTTCCCGTCAGTCAATTTTTCTCGAAAACATATGAAGTCTTTTTCATAATCTGGGGGAACAGTCGACCGCAAAGTATGGCCAAATTATGATCTTTTAGTACATTTCACTTCAGCAGTATTGCACTTAATAACACACAAATAAGCTATTCAGGACATGCAAAGTCTAATGCGATAAAGGAGCTGGAATAATTAGGTTAAGCAGAACCTTATTTCCTTATTATTTGAAAAAGAATACAGCTAATATTATTATTAATATTGATGATATTAGCATGCATAACGCCAGAAACTGCCTTTCCGGCAA